ATAATTGCTGTGCATCTGCTAACTTTGTTAGGCCTTAAGTACTTAAGAAACTGATTCATTACAAAAATCAAAGTTTATTTAAAACTGCTTGGCCAGGCATGGTGGCATACACCTTTAATCCCAGCACTCAGTAGGCAGAGGTAGGCAGATCACTATGAATTTGAGACCAGCCTGGTCTACATACAAATTCCAGGCCAGCTGGGGTTACAGCAAAGCTGTCTAAAAAAGGCATACCCCACAAACAAACAAACAAACAAACAAACAAACAAACAGACAGACAGAAGGCTATTAAGCACCCAAGAAAAATGGACAATCTTACCACCAGGAGATCTCTTGAAATTAAGACTAAGAAAGAACTGGTTTTAGGCTGTTTATCATGGGAAGAGGTAATGGGTAACTTGGTGGTTAATGTAACTAAGACAGCCAGGGATCTCCTCTGACTGCTCAGTCTGATCAATCTGATGCATGTTTTCCTTTACAGAAGCTTAGAGGACCAGAGAACTTCCTTTTTCATTTATTATTTTTATTTTATGTGTATGAGTGTATTGTCTGCATGTGTGTAAGCACACCTGTGTCATGCAATGCCTGCAGAGGTCAGAAGGCGTCAGATCCCTTGGAACTGGAGCTAGAGATGGTTGTTAACCACCATGTGGGTACTGGGAATCGAACCCAAATTCTCTGCAAGAGCAGTCAGTGCTCTTAACTGCTGAGCCATCTCTCCAGCCCCCAGAGAACTTTGATGGACAAATGTATGTGTCCTGAGTTTCGTCTTGGCTCATCTTGGGATCCTTTAAATAAATTCTAAAACAAACAAACAAAAAATCCCTGATATTATCACCTGAAGGACATAATGTTGGTAATGTTTCCTTTGTTTTTACTTTTGCTAAGAGTACTACTTATAATTTTCTTGTGTTGGGACTGGAGAGATGGCTCAGCGGTTAAGTGCACTAGCTGCGCTTAGGACCCACTAGCTGCTCTTACAGAAGATTCAGCTTCAGTTCCCAGCACCCATATGGCAGATAACAACTGTCCTAACTCCAGTTCCAGAGGTTCCAATGCCCTCTTCTGACTTCTGTGGACATTGCATGACATGGGTGCACTTACACACATGCAGGCAATACACTCATACACATAAAAATAAAAGTTTTAAAAATTTGCTTGTGTTATTGTGAAATAATAACATTAACAACTCAATTTAAAAGAATACTTCTAGTCCCGAATAAAAAGAAAAACCATTACAATCTTTATTAGTTGCAGTCTGTTACTGTGATAGAAGCACTGACCAGATCAACTTATAGAAGGAAGAGTTTATTTGAGCTTACAGTTCCAGGGGAATTGCAGTCCATTGTGGCGGGGAGGCACGGTGGCAAAGACGGCTGGAGGAGGAGTGGAAGCTAAACATTCACATCTTCAAGCATTCATAGGAAGCAAGACAGCACCTTGAGATCCAGCAAGGCTTAGGAACTCTCTAAGCCCGCCCCCAGCGACATGCTTCCTCCAGGATAGCCGCACCTTCTAAAACCTCCCAAAACAGCGCCACCATCTGGGGACAAAATGTCCAAATACTTGGGGCCTATGGGGACATTCTCACTCAAACCATCACACAATCCAACCTTAAACTCCCTATTTCCTGATGCAGACCCAGTTGGCTCCATCTCTGAAGTCTAATGTATGGAGCGTTGATTACTGTTATACAGGAGATGGAACCTTTTCAAATAGGATGAATGGGTCCATTAGTAACTAATATGACTAAAACTTCATCAGCCCTTACTATAAAGTTGAATGCCTGCCAAGTTTTACATTATGGAAATTTAAAAAATCAAAACCAAAGATATACACATATATAATTAAGATCAAAGATATAGACCCCTGACACACCATGACACACAGCTAAAATACAGCACACTTGTAATCCCTGAGCAACCACCATCCAGCAGGCAAAACTTTTAAATGCTCTTTCTTCTGTTTATACAAAACCACATTCATTAAGGTCACCAGATAAAAATTTCATTAAATTATAAAACTGAACGCCATATACATAGATTTTGATTAGGATTTCCTTCCAAAGAAAGTTCTAAATACACATACACATTAATTACAATTTTCATTTCAGGCTGGCACACGCCTTTAATCCCAGGACTCAGGAGGCAGAGGTGGGCAGACCTCTGTGAATTCTAGGCTCCATAGTGAGGAGTCCCAGGCCAGCTGGGGCTATAGGGAGACCCTATCTTAAAAAGACCAAATTTTTAAAAAATTTTTCAATTATATAATAAAGATAACAAAAGCACATGATTTCTTTTTTAAAATATTCTTTAATTTTTAAAAAATATTTTATTTATTATTTTTATTTTATGTGTAGGAGTGTATTGCCTACATGTAGGTAAGTGCACCCCTGTCCTGCAATGTAGGCGAGGTCAGAAGAGGGCACTGGATCCCTGAACTGGAGTTACTGACAGTTTTAGCAGCCTTGTGGGTGCTGGGAACCAAACCTGGGTCCTCTGCAAGAGCAGCCACTGCTCTTAACCACTGAGCCTCCCTCCAGCCCCTCTCTCTAGGCTTCTTAACCGCTGAGCCTCCCTCCAGCCCCTCTCTCTAGGCCTCTTGAGCTCTACTTTTAAACGCGGTGATGAAGAGATGGTTCCAAAGGAGCGCAATGAGGGCGATCACACTCCTGGTAGGTGTCCACTCATGTACTGGAAAGTTCCTGAAGAGGGTGCATGGAAGGCCCTGACGCCTTAGTAGCATGACGTAGAGGATTTGCTTGTGCTTTCCCAGAGACCACAGCTTGCACGTCTAGGATCCTGGCCGGACCAGGGAACAATGCTCGGAGGAAGACCAGCTGATGTGCGACTTCTCAAAAGCTGCTCACCGCGGCCTTTACCATCCTTGCCCTTGTGTGACTGGTGTTGGAGTGGAACAATATTTGGCTTTTCAGGGGCCACACAGCTGGGGAAAAGGTATCCCCTTCCCCACAGCCAGTACCTCCTCCGCTGGGGTGGGGCCCATGAGCCCCTTCTCCACTCACGATGGGATGTGGATGAGTCCCATCCTGTCCAGGTCAGCACAACTGCCGAGAGCTCAGAAGTTCGGGGACCACGTGTCCATTGACTGGACCTTTGAACGACGCCCCAACAGTGAAGACAGAGGGCCGGCAAGGGGGTGGACGGAATGGGGCTGCACAGTGGTCCCGACATGAATGAGCCTTGAGGGCCAGGCTGGATGCTGTGTTCTGAGTAGGTGTCCTCCAAAGATCCTCCTGTGAAAGGTTCAGCGTGGCTCTGCGGGAGATGCTGGAACATCTTTTTGAGGTGAGACCTCGTGATGGTCCTGGGGGCACTGGGACCAGGCCCTTGCCAGGGACTGTGGGGTTTGTTCTCCTGACTTGAACTTTTGGCCATGACGTTGGAGGCTTTGTTCGGCCACAATGTGATAGCCACCACACATCCCGAAAAGTGCGACCCAGCTGTCGTGACTGGAACCCCAAAACGATGAGTCAAACCGCCTCTTCCCCAGTGGACCCTTTTAGACAATTTTTATTTTTAATATTCTGTGTATGTGCCTGTGTTAGAGTAGCAAAAAGCTCCATAAGTTTAACTGCTCCAGACTATAAGATCCCTAGCCTACTGGTTGGATGACCAACATTTCCAGGTTTGCTGGTCAGTCACCTGGTGATGAACCACCCATCAGAAGGCAGGTCCACAGTCAGTTATGCTAAATAGATGGGTGGAATGCCTGGTGCGTTAATGAGGTAGCTAACTTTTCCTTCCTGGAATCCTGCCTCCCAGCACAGAACTCCTGGACCAGCCCCAGGCATGTATCTGTGAGTCTTCCTACTTTTCTAACTTCTTCAGAAAAGTGTAATCACTCCTTTTCTTCTCCGTATCCCTTTTCTAAACACGCTTTCTTCAAGGCTTTGGGCTGCCCCGGCATCTTGTATTTCTTTACTTCTCTAAAGCTTCCTTCTCCCAGCCACGTGTCTGCCGTCCACCAGGCTCTAACCCTGCCCGGCTCCATGGCTTTCTTTCCTTCTTCCCACCATTCACCTCCTCAAGGCGGCTGCCAAGATCACCAGCTCACCTGCCCTGAGGATTTTTCTTTAAGATTCTAATAAAATTGTAAAAACTTCCATTTGGGTCCATTCTTAAATTCTTTATGGATGAGAGGAAGAACCCTGTACGGGACCCTCTCTCTCTCTCCATTTCACATGTGTAAACATGCCACAACACACCAACAGAGGTCAGAGGTCAACTTGGGGTAGTTTGTTCTTCCCTTCCACCATGTGAGTTCTGGACACCAAACTCAGGTCATCAAGCTTGGTGCCAAGCCCGTAACCACTGAGCAATCTCACCAGCTCACAGCTTTTCTTTTTGCTTCTTTAATTTTCTTGAGAAAGGGTTTCCTGAGTTGTTCTGGGAGTCTCTATGTAGACCAGGCTGGTTTTGATCTCACAGAGATCTGCTGGTCTCTGCCTCCCAGGTGCTGGGATTCAAGGAGTGCACCATCATGCCCGGCTGGCTTTATTTTTCTAATGTTGACACACACAGCAAGACTTTGAGAGTCTTTGTGTGTGTGCGCAGACATGTATGTGCCACACTCATATGCACAAGTCAGAAGACAACTTCAGGTGTTGGCCGGTGTTGGCCGGTGTTCGCTGGCCTTGAAGGACAGCATCTTTGTTTATTGCTGGTTATGGCAGGCTAGATGGCTGTGATTCTGTTGTAACTTCCCATCTCCCTGAAGAAGTGCTGGGATTAGATGTTCACGCTGTGTACCCGGGAGTCTGCCTGTGTCCGAGGATTCAAACTCAGACCTTCACCTTTGGGGGTGGGTGTTCCCAGCCTCACTCATCTGTTTCATTTTGTCTTATTGTCCTGAGTGGGGCAGTTACTTGACAGTAACTGTCCTGAGTGTGACATCCAGAGTGTGTCACTGCTTCTCGGGAGAGCTTAGGACAGGCGCATACGGAACAGAAGAGATTCTCCACACGACTGATTGGTTGCAATATGTATTTATCACACAGTTAAAGCATAACAATACACATCAACACAAACACTCAAGGGGAAACCCGGTCCTCTAGCAATTCAGAGTCCCAAAGTCTCAAGGGAATACCTTCCAGCGGTTAGTCCTTCCAGTAGTCCGTGTGGAGTCACTCAACATCCGCCGCCGTGATCGCTGCACTCTCCCAGCTGGAGCTGTCAGTTCTCAGGCTCTGATCATGTCTGATTCTGGCAAGCTCTCTCCAATCCAACAGAATTTCAGCCTGGCCTTGGGCAGAATTTCGGTCTCTCGGGCGATGCATCGGGATGAGGCTCACAGAGTCAGCGTCTCGTGTAGCCAAGCATCGATGAAGTCCTCGAGCTGTCAGTTTTTCTATGTTTCTTTTGGCTGGAGTCCTTCTGACTTACGTCAGTAACTTCAGCTTCTCCCATACGATTACTTATCTATCACACACAGGCATTCAAGCTACTTAGTTTTGACTCTCAAGTCCCCATCTGCTCCACACAGTTTCACATAGTTTCTGTGTGAAGTGATAAGTGAGCCTGAGAAGCCGAGAAGTTCCTAGTTTCTAGTTTCATTTCAAAGTCACTCTTAATATCTATCTTAATTTATTCTTAATTTCCTAATACATTCAGTACTCTTATCTTCCTTCAATCCCTCCTTTTTTGTTTTGTTTTGAGATAATGTCTTATTTTGTTGTCCGAGCTGGCCTATTATACTGGTACGAAGCGCAAGAACCTGGCCTCAACCTGTCATGAGCTCTCTGGTTTCATCTTGGTGGGTGGTGGGTGACCCAGGTATGCCTGTAAGAGAATACATTATTATTACTACGATTATTTTTATGTGTATGAGTGTTTTGCCTGCATGTATGCAGTGCTCATGGAGGTCACTAGAGGGCATTGGATTTTCCTGGAACTGGAGTTGTAGGCTTCTATGTGGTGTGGGAATTGAACCCGGTCCTCCGTAAGAGCAACCAGTGCTCTTAGCTGTTAGGTTCCTGGCAGGCTCCTAACATGGCGGCATGGCTCCCAATAGTCTAAAATGGCAGGTTTGAAGTTAGCCCAGGAAAGTCCCTCTGCTAATAGGGAGACCAACCAATCCTGAGCTAAGCCGCCCAGCCTACGTCATGGGAAGTTACCAAGGACCTAACTGCCTATAAAAGATGTCTGACTGCTCCTATTGCTGTTTCTCTGCTCCCCAAGAGGCAGCCCAGTGGTCTGTTTGCCTTCAAATGAACTCCCTCCCCCATGGAGTTGTCCTGGTCGGTGGTCTTCAGATGAACTCCCTCCCCCATGGAGTTGTCCTGGTCGGTGGTCTTCAGATGAACTCCCTCCCCCATGGAGTTGTCCTGGTCGGTGGTCTTCAGATGAACTCCCTCCCCCATGGAGTTGTCCTGGTCGGTGGTCTTCAAATGCTGTGCTTCCATACATTAACCTCTGACCCAGCTCTCCAGCCCCCAACTTTTTGTTGTTGAGCACATAAAGCTGTGGTTACAGCTGCAGGCGCATGGGAGAGTGCAGCCAGCTCCACCTGTGCGCTTAGGAACATGGGAGAGTGCAGCCAGCTCCACCTGTGCGCCCAGCGGGAACATGGGAGAGTGCAGCCAGCTCCACCTGTGCGCTCAGCGGGAACATGGGAGAGTGCAGCCAGCTCCACCTGTGCGCTCAGCAGCCCCTGGGGAAGCAGATCCCCTGGCTTGGGGGACCCCAGTGAAGCACAGGGAAGAAAGCAAAGGGCCAGCCCTGAGCTTCCAGAAGGCCACCCTGCCCTGATACTAACAAAGGAGACTCAAAGCATTGGGGAGCAGGGTGTGTGTGTGTGTGTGTGTGTGTGTGTGTGTGTGTGTGTGTATCAACACCAGGCTCCCCAGGACCTGCCTTCAGGTGAGGGGTCAGTGGCTTCCGTCAAAGGCCTCTTCACTACTGGACTTTACCTTTATTCAGGAGTAGCAGCCAGACATAATGAAATAAAGAATTAGGCTATAGAAGATATAGGGCCAGTACACGTAACCTAAAATTGAAAAATCAGAAAATATCTTGGTTAAGTTAGGAAATGGGCATTACGTTCAGGCACCTGAGAGTGTATTTAATGGGACATTGAATGAAGTTTGCATCTGGGTAGGAAAGACTACACAGGCAGGTGCTAAGAGAAGCTGAGCTCCGAGATGAGATGACGGACCTGGGAGGCTGACGCGGATTCATGGTGCCTCAGGGCCCACTCTGGGGGAAACACAGATCCTGCCTGTGATCCCAAAGGATCTTAGACAAGTGCTACTGGCCAGCTTGTGGCCACTGCCTTAGTGGTGGTGAGAACAGCAGCCCAATCTTGATGGCGGGGGACTGGAGACGCCGGCTCCGCAGTGTTCTCATGTCCATCACCTGCGCGTGTTTGCAGACCTGATTTTACTTGGCTGAGACAGAATGTCCTTTCTGCTCCCCTGATAATAGCTGCTCCACTGGTGGGAGGTTTGATTAGTATGTTAACTCAACTTGTCTCCCCCACCAATGGAGAATATTTACCAGCTCTAACCTGCCTTATTTTGTGTTCTTAACTAGAAGTCCCAGACAATAAAATTTAAAAACATCACAAACGGACAGTGTGCTTTAATTAAAATGTAAAATCATCTGAAAAAGCAAAAAAATATAAAATTGGAAATTTACAAGTATAAGAGCTCTTTAAAAAACTACATGTAAGTTAAAGAAAAATA